TTCCACACACATCATTACCATGGTCTTAGTTCTGTTTTCATGCAGACACAGGGAAATACATTGAGCTTAGGGCAATCAGTTTGTAGCTCTGCTTCAACCAAGTCATACCCTTAGGAGGTGCGACCAATTTTATGACATGTCAGAAATTCATCTGACTGTCTGACTGCCAGTTGGAAGAGGTTAATCGCCTATTGTTACTAGGGTTGTAACGGTATGAGATTTTCACGGTATGATAATAGTCTCAGAAAATATCACGGTTTCACGGTATATATTAAACAATCATTCTTATCAGTAACAATGACTATTAAAAGAATAAGAACAGGTTATTTGAGTGAACAAATCCTTTATTACAACAAACTTGAAACCATTTTAATGAAAGCATTGAAGTCTCCCTTCTGAAAAAAAATTATCATTTCATTTAAAAAAAAAACAATTAAAAAATAAAGCTATACACCTTATGTACATCTATATCACACTTTAACATTTTAATTAATGTTTTAAAATGTTATCAAATTAAAATTTTACAACTTATTTTTGGCAAAGTTCTGCACAACAGAGGTATACTACGTTAAAACATGGACAAACATGATATTCCTTAAAAAAGTTATGTTTAAATAAATTCCTTGTTATAAAGAATATTATTATTGTTGTTGTTAGAACTTTGAAGTACATTGTACAATGCTAATATATTTCTGTCATAATTTCAAGTTAAATCGAACTTTTGTTTTGACGGGTATTTGACAATGGTTTTTCTCAAATAAAACTAGGAAATGTTTATTTAAGTTTTCTCTCAGAGCAGCTCTGGTGATGTTCATGTTTACGTAGACGCTGAAAACACCATTAGTAGTAGATAAAACGGCGTCACTCAGAGACATGTAGAAACAAGCAGATTAGCAGTCTCTTTGCTCTTTAATATTCACAGACACATATCATATCTACTTTTGATTTATCCATCCATCAGATTACACATCCAGCACCGGGATTCCCTCTGCATCACGGAAATCATATGGCCTTAATTTATAACTTCTTATAAATGCGAGACACCTTAATCTGCACGGAGAGATGGTGTTGGATGCGCTGCATTAATATATATATATTAGTGTTCCACTGCATGTGCGTGTAAGCAGCCAAGTGGAAATACGTAGATATGCAACTGTTTACGGTATGATAACCGTGCAAGTTCAAACCGTGATAAACCGTCATACTGGTATATCGTTACAACCCTAATTGTTACCCTTATACGCTGCACAAAAACGATGCACAACAAAGGTCAAATTTGGCCTGACTCGAGAAAGAGTTGTACGACTCAAAAAAAGATGAAAATCGCAGTGTGTGCCTGGCTTTAAAAGCTCTCCAAACATAAACAGACCGTGAAAGTGGGAGCTGCGGAGAGTTCCAACCATTTTCATTTGCATAATTTTCTGATCTAATCTGAGTTTCGGGTGTGCTGAGACTATGAGTGCGAGGTGAGAATTAACAATATTTTAACACTGAAACATGAATATTTATACACTATTTTTGAAAATGGGTGGTTATGAATAATTATTTCCAAAATAATTATTTTAGAATGGTAATGTATGGTAATGTTCAGTTGGCCTGGAACAAAATCCATTCACAAAGTGCAGGCTATGGCACTTTCACCTGAAAAATGATTAGCAGCTGCAGTGAATGACTGTGAACAAACATAAACCCTACTGGGTTAAACACACCCAAACATACATGCTGTAATATCCTGTTGTAAATGAAATTACAATGAGCTGAATTCAGACATGCCTATTCATCTGACCGACTACAGGGAATGAACACACAGCATCACCGCCCACTCTGTTCCTCTTTCAATGTTTACTCAAGGCAAGCTTTTGAAGGAATGTGTTTAATGAGTAAAACACTGAAGGGTATGGAGCGGACCAGAATAACAAAAAGGTGCTTTAAGGCCATCAGGTAGATTTAGCTGTATACAACTGAACTTCATTATCCATAAAATTGACAGGTGCTTCATCATACTTCAGTTGCTAAAAAAGGCACAATGATTGAACAATTTAAACAAACCTTCATACTGAAGCAGACTGGCGAACAGGTGTAACAGTCATCAATTACATGTTCTCAATGTAATAAATAACCCTGTAAAAGCCATCAAAAAAAGGTGTTTATTGCCAAAGATAAATCTCTGCAATTCATTAGGTCCTGTAGCGAAGGGATTTGAATATGTAGGGAGTGGTGTTACCTGCAGGGAACTAAAACCTGGTTAATAAAAATCCATATATGACATGAGAACATGCTTCTAGTTTGCCTGCCGGCTATCTGCAAGTCAACATTATCAGAGCTGAAAACAAAGGTCTATTTGTGTCTAATTGCAAATGAATTGCATTTGTTAAAAAATGTATTTTGAAGTAAAAGATAAAATGAGACCCTTGGGGAAAGGTGGCCCCCAGAATTGGCACAGAAGGAGCAAGTGGGATAAGAAGGTTTATTCTGTTTATAATGTTTCTGTTTATCAGATCTGTACAACCTCTCCTGCACACAGGTGTGCCATGAGTAACCAGCCAAATGAATGAGAGCTGATCTGAGAATGTCCTATATATACACCTTAATGAATGAGGCCTCTGCTTATACATTTCTATACTCCTTGCTAACTTTTCAGTGCAGACCTTACAGAACTTATAATATAAGTAATCAGCTGGCTTCTTAGATTTGGCTTTCAATCTTCCCGAGTGTAATGTTGCCAGGTTTGACAGTTTGTCACACAAGCTTTTACATCTAGACCCATTTGTGACCAATACACCAGAACTTGTCAAATCTATACATTTGAGTTCTTAGATAAGAGGATCGTCACGGGGAAACAGTCATTAGCCTGGGATGCAGGGATCCTGGAATCCACACCTGATCAAGAGTATGAGTAGTTGAACTATAGAGTAATTTATATTTAGGGTATACTATATTCTCAAAAATGGTTCGTTTTCACACATCGTCACTCACCTGCATCGCTTCTATGAACAGAGAAAAACAGAATAAA